AGAGCATATTACTTACTTGCTGCAAACATTTACAACGCCCAACTCAAGTTAAACGGGCTAGCCCTAACGGTTTTCGGGCTAACCCTAACGGGTTTCGGTTTTAAATGGTCCGGGTCTAACAAGCCCTGATTTAAATGGGGTACCAATAAAATGCCCTAACCCTGTTTTTTTTCCGGGCTAAACGGGCCGGCCCGTCGGGCCAAGGACCGTTTAACATCTCTAGTTTTGAGGGAAAAATTGTATAACCCGACCCGAGTGTTAGATAATTATGTCGAATCTAAACCCGACCCACATATAATTTACCTATTATTGTCCAATAATTTAGTCGAATCCGAAATTGGTCAAAAAAGCTCTTAAATTTTAGCCAATTTAAACCTATTTCGACCTCGATCGTAGGAATCCGATCGAAAGTTGCTGAGTTGGCAAAATTTTGGCACTGACTGGACTGATAAATTGATTCTGGCAAAAGTGATGTGGACACTTTCATTTTCTCCACATCATTTTCCTTTAAATTATTATAATTCGAAGATTAAAAAATCTACTGGTCGCTGTGAAGAACTTTGAGAAATCCAACTCGAAAACACGCGTCGTCAATCAGAATGACCCTACTGTCGCCTCTTCCGCAGTGATCCACCCTAGCACCAACGCCGCCAACTCCCGCTACCCGAGGACCATCCGTTTCGCCACATTCAACACCGTGTTCTTCTCCATTGTGCTGACGACCCCCTTAACAGACAAACCGTCAGACACCTCACCGACGGAGCTCAATTGTGACCAGAGAGGGTCCAAATCCACCAACTACCGTCCCAAAAGCATCATTAGGCATCATAAATCGCAAGATCGAGGTTGAGGATTTCGATTAACTTACCGGACCACGAGATTTCGATGAAGAGAAGCAGACAACCAAATTCTTGGGGGCAAGGCGCTGGAGAGGTCGAGGAGTGCGCGTTTCGTCGGTGCGGCGAGCCTGGGTGGTGACAGAGATTGGGGAAGCAATCTGACGGTTTTGGAGGTGTTGAGGGAGGTGAATTTTTTAATCTTAGAATTAATATAATTTAAGGAAAAATGACATGGAAAAAACTTTCAATTTTCACATTAGTTAATTTGTTTAAAATAAATCCACATCAGCCAAGTCGACGCCGAATTTCGCCAACTCAGCAACTTCTAATCGGATTTTGGCAATTGAGGTCGGAATAGGACTAAATTGGCTAAAATTTAAAAATTTTGAAACCAATTTCGAATCCGACTAAATTACTAGACAAAAATGAGAAAATGCTTATGTTATTTGATTAAAACTGCAATTTTACCTCACAAATAATGTTAGATGAGTTTTAATTGATGGATATTGAATTTTATTATTTTCCAGCTAAGATTGATAGGTGAATTTATTTATATATATATAAAGGTGTATATATATATTTAATTTTTATGTTACCTAATGTATGTTGTAAAGTATAATTTTATTTATCATACATAGAAACGGATTACAAAAAAAGTTCTAAAACATATTTATAGTCAAAGTTACTAAATATTTTATGATATTAGAACTAATAACTACATAGATAAAACTCTAAATCTACATGAACTTCTCAGAACCACCAGAATTTGAAGCCTGAGGATAACACATTTACGAAACACAAGCAGAGTTTGCGAAACTTTACATTCATAAATAGTGCAATTTTTTCTTTCCTTTTCCTTTTCCTTTCTCTTCTGTAGATTGATCTTAAGAAAGGTTTATGGAATTCATCCCTTAATCTTTAATATCAATTCTTTACCGATGTCAGCCCTGTAAGATGCACCACATCGGACACAAGGCCATGCAAATCTTTCTCATATTATTCGTGCAAACGCAAAGAAAATAAAAATGCTTGGCAAAAGATCATCATGTTAAAAAATATACCAACGCAGGGAGAATGCATAAATCACTAGTTCATGTATAGATAAATAAACTGTGTACCATTGGCTCAACTCCTGTCAATAAGTATAAACCTGTTATCTAACAAGGTTAAATTTATCGTTTCCTCGTATAACAATACATTCTTGTTAACTTAGTAAAGCTGAATCTCAACTCGGATAGTGCACAGAATATTCAAAGACAGAAATAGCCCCATCAAATGGTAATGCATCACCAAAACTTCTTTCTGACATACAACAGTAGGAAAACGACTCCGAGAACAACAGCAACAGGGGCCCACTTTCGAATCAGAGCCTACAGTCCGAAAAACGATCAACAATTTACATGAAAGGGCCTTCACGCGAATGTAAGGAACTTCAATGACATGATACGAGAGGTCTTGACAGAAAATTCAGATATATGAATCCAAAAGGTGTTGAATAAAGCTCCTTGCCTTTCAGTATAACAAATACGACTTAAGCGTAAAGCAATGTTAAAATATTTTTTGAATAGAACTTCAACAAGAATTAATTTATGTTCCACTTAAAAAAGCTTCAGACAGACAGCTAGATAAAGGTCTGATGACCGGAACTTGTTTCATATTATTGAATGTCAAAACTAACCTGGCGGTTCAAATCTTTTGCTTTCTTAGCATACATGCGGGATTCAGAAGTTAAGCGGCTGGACATCTGACTGACCTCTGCAAAATCGCACATTGTCAAATTATAACATCAGATATTCAATGGGAAAACAAATCACCGGGCAAATGATAAAGAAGACAAAGGCAGACCCATTATTCCGTAGTATTAAAAGATCACTTACGATCCAACTTTTCACCAACACCAAGGACCTCTTGTACATTGCGGGTCATTATCTGGTGGACTTCATAGAGTTCATCATTCAACTTCGCAATATTCCGTTGAGTTCTTGTATCCTGGTATAGCTTCTTTGTCCTTTGCATGAAAGTGTCTGATAAATGCAAGAGAAGCCAGTGATCAGAAAACAAAGTCAAATATTAAAAAAATAAAATTACAAGACAGTACCTGCATAAACAATTTAATGACCAGAGATAAAAACTTGCCAAATTTTATAAAAGCAAATGGTCTTGCAGCAGTTTCAATCTGATTCCCTTATGCACGCTCAAATTCATTCTTTATGTCTTCCAGATACTGATAAGCAAGCTTCTTCGGATAAGCACGGTCACATGTAGTCAAGTAGCATACATTCCCTTCAATGATATAGCTGGGCTCCAAATTAAGTTCTTAACATTCTCCAATGCAGGAAGATAGAAATATACAATAAACGAAACCACTTTGAACAGAAATAGCTATAAAATCACCTAAAGGCATGGTGTGGAAGCAACCATCAGAATAAACAAATAAGCAAGAAAGATTTCACAATATAAACAAAAAAGCGCCAGGTTGGCCAGCTGAAAGCTTTACGAGTAGTAGTTGATGACGCTACCAAAACCCCATTGCTAACTTCTCCATTAAAATGGTCAAGTAATGGGAGAAAATATGGTTTCATGTCTAATCTATCACTAAAAGCTGTAAAGAGGTTTAACAGCTTTAGATTAAATATCGGTAAGCATTCATTTTTTCCATAAGATGAAATTTTGAAGGCATCCACATAACAATAATGTAAATAAAGAGAAAAACTATGAAATCTGAGTATCCATGAGCGAGAGAGAGAGATTACATGAGTTAACTCCAGAATTAGTACACATAAAATAAGAACTAACTACATTTGTAAAAAGAATACTGGAATATGTATGGCCCAGTTTCAATTGACATTCTGGATGGCTGATTCTGGCCCCTCGAGAGATTCTTGAACAGAGCCTTCACTTGTTGTTTGTAAAAGTCAGCATCTGGCATATCACGACCATCATCCAGTCCCTCTACTAGAGGAAGACCATCAGTTACACGAGCTATCATTGTCAGCTTAACCATCTTTACAAATTACAAAGAGCTCACACCTACACAATAATTAAAATCAAGACTTAATAACCCGTGTGACATAAACGATGCTTGTAAATCTATTTCAATATATAGTTCGCCGATTCTCAAGAACAAAGGGATAAACACTTGGTGGATAAAAAATTTAACTTTATCGCCAATACAGAATCCCTGAAAATCCCAGAAACTGAAAAAACAGTTCATCAAAGCTTCGGGTCAATTATTTACACTTAAGTAGTTATCCAAGTGTGGAACTTGATGATGGATTCTTGATTTACCAGAACATAAAAAACTGTTGCCAACATAAACACGAGACAAATCATCATAAATGTCATTTGGTCCTGTCCTAGAGCATGCATCAAAGTGTCTAGCTCTTGAAAAAAGGATTAGTTTCAGCTCATTGATTAATCAAACTAGAGTTAAATAGTTCCTAGAAGAAAGTGCAATATAATTCAAAAGTTCATTGACTTCACATTTTCTTTCTCACTTTCTCTTGGCTAAATCTTGATTCTAATTCCTGCATCTATACACTCTTCCCATATTCTAGTAAAACAACCTTAAAAACAACCTTAAAAACTCCCTTAGTCCTGCCTATATAAAGAGTAATGCGAATAAAACAAAACATTTTATCTGACTAGCGCGCGCACGCAAGCACACACAAATCAAGTGATGATCAGTGACAGAACATAACCATAACAGTCGAATGTTTAAAAGGCAAACAACAGAGTTCGAAAACGATATTCGATCAAAACCGATGCACAACAGAAAATCAAATACCGGTGACATGCGAATGTGAGCCCTCGCCGTGTGCTTATGCGTGTGGGAGCTTCAATTAGGTTTAAAAATCACGAAATTTCGAGCCTTTCGAATGGATCTATTTGAGCGATGTGATGTAAGATGGAGATTTATAGAATAATTTGATCAAAACCAATTTATTGCATGGAGCTATAAATAATGCTATTTATATATAAATTTATAATCTATCTATTTGTCTATATCTATCTATCTATACCTGTAATGCTAAGGAGCCAACAACCAATTATACAGCTCCATGTGGGGCTGTCTCACATGACTTTAATATGGGACAACCCCACATAGATCTGTCCCATTGGCTGTTGGCTCCATAACAGAGCCAACAGTTGGCTCCTTAGCATTATTGCTATCTATACTATCAAAAATTCTATGGAGTCATCAGATGGTTTTTTTTATAGAGTCATCCACTACTTAATGTATTGACACTTGTCCAAAATATATTTATTGTAGGAGTGGTCGGGGTGAAGAAGCGGCGCCTTTCTCCACTAGGACCTTTTTTTTCCCTGGTGTGGGGATTGAGGGGTCGGCCGGCGCGGTCGAACCTTGGCCAATGGTGTGGGCTGGGTTTGGGGCGGTGGTGGTGTGGGTGGATGGAGGTGAGTTTGTTGTTTCTCAGACTGTGGGGTCAGGATCGTGGTCTACTGCCTGGAGTGTCGGGGTTTTGGGTTTCGACTTCAGTTAGACGTGTTTAGTGATTTCTGGAGCGGCTACTCAGGCTGCGGTCAGTCCGTTGGGGTGGTCGGTCGCGGGTTCCACCGCCGAGTTGTGCTTGGTGTGGTTTGTCTGTCGTGGGATTTCATGGGCCTTAGTTTATTTTAGTATTAGTTGTTGTTGTTTTTTTTTTTTTGTGTGTTGAGTGTTTAGTTTAGGCTTTGTGTTTTCTCCCGCTTGGAAGCGTGTAGTCTCCCGTGTGCGGAGTGATGATTTTCCATAATTGCAGCTTTATAGTTTTTGTTTTGTTCGTAGGTACGTTGGTTAATTTTTTTATATTTTAAATTCTAAGCGATCTTTGAATCTGTCCTCTCATTTTTATTCTGACTTTTAGCTGACTCATTTAACTGACACATTGAGCTGGGAGGGAGGAGATAGAGAGAGTTGACGAATTTGACATATTTATCAAAGAATGTTAGAATAATTGAAATAAAAAAACTAGAGTTAGTAAACAATAATATTTTTAATCGCATGTGAGGTAATTTTTCGTTATCTTGGTAGTATTAATTTTTTATTTTTTTTTCTGAAAAAAGTGGGATAAAACATTTAGGTAGCAATAGAAAATTAAAATTTTTATTTCAACAAACTTATTATTTTCTTGTTATCTTGGTAGTATTAACTTTTTTTCTTAAAAAAGTGGGATAAAATTTTTAGGTAGCAATAGAAAACTAAAATTATTATTTTAGCAAACTTATCATCAATCAGCCAAAAGCTAGAAGCTCGAAATTCACTTGTAAATAGTTAATCTAACTTGTCAACTATATGTTATTCAATTTGATTAAATTCTATTATTGTTGCCAAACAGATTCATACTGTGAGCAGGCCGCCCTAACTTTTGGAGGCATAAATGCCATAAAATGGCCAGAGGTTGGTTATTTATCTAAAGCAAAAACATCTTCATTGTGTAAAGCTCAAGATAAACTTCCATTGATAAAATTACTTGGCATCAACATGAAACAGCCATATTCCGCAAGTTGTTGACACTTTACATGACGGTTCTAAAATTTATACATGCAGTTAATATTCAAATCTAGCAAGTGTATAAACACATAACGAACGAACACGAGTCATTGACAAAAGAATGCTTTAGCTACCAAAATCACTTCATTGTTCCTCCAATTGGGACTATGAAGTCGTTACAATATACAACACAATATTACTCAGAATCTACAAGAAATAACCAAGTCCCCCTCGAAAAGCCGCATAAATCCATGAAGAAACACATACCATGATTTGTTACATCAACAAACTGATTTACTGCTGTATTTGGAAAGGCAAACCGAAGCATTTGTACCATGAATGTACAGTCGGAAAAGATCATCTAGGCTTTGAGTCGCTTCCTTTACTCCGAAATGTTGATAGCGAGAAAAATGACCTTGGAGCTGAAAAATCAAAGTATAGCTATAAGCCATATTTCCCGGTGAACACCAGTAAACAATTAAAAATATTCGTTTCAGTTCAACTGTTTCAAGCATTTTTACCGGAGGCAATAGTAATTCAAAATTCAAAAGTATCCAAACTTTTCCTGATGCAATGTAGCATGTAACTAATGATTGGAGCATTTCTACAAATAAGCTCTCACAGACTTATGCTCGCACCATTAGTGTTACTTTTAAGATAGTTGATTCAAGTAAAAATGGCGGCAAAATTGTTATGCAGCCATATAGTTTTTTTTTTTTTTTTTTTTTTCAGTTCCTATTACCAATTATACGATGAAGCAAACTTGAAACCGAAAATCCACCTTTAATTGAGCTTCCTGACATTTTATCCTCCCTCAGTTTAAAATTTGCTGGGGGTGCTGGGATAGCATTCTGTGAAGATTGAACTGTGGGAATAGGAAAGCACACATCAACAGGAAAGCGAGAGCCTGCCCCACTAGTTAAAACAAGGGGCAAAAAATGGTATGGCAGCAAACAAAGAATCTAGTAACTAAAAGACTTGACGAATGCACCAGAACAAGAACGAAAACCAGCTATCAATCTTTCCACTCAGTCTTTGCATAAAAAAGTGGCAAAATGCAAATTTCCTGGACTACGTGCAACTTAAGTCAGCCAAAGAAAGAAAATGGCGAACCAAAAAAAATGAATGAGGTTGAGATATTAATAAACATTCAAACACCATAGGAGGTCATCCTAAAATCACAAAATGTTTAACCACTACATAAATTTGGGAATATCCTTCCAAAAGTTTCAGAAATGATTCTTTAGATTATTCAACAGTGCCGCTATCTTCCGCCCACAAAGATGGCTCTGTGATTCTGAAACATTGCGGAAATCAAATTCTGAAAATACTGTTTTCCGACCAAGAATAAAGAATCCCAAGCCTTTGGGTAAAAACCAAATGGAACATTTTAAGCTAGAAGCCTTTTCCATTCAAATAATTTTAAGATAATTAGATGGGGTTGGTACATGTTTCACACTCTATAGTGTACAACAGTTTGCTATCCAAAATTCTGCACCTGATCGCTCAGTCATATCAAAATTTCACTTAAGCTATCTTACAAACACACTACTCTTCATCACCCGATAGCTTAGGAAAATGACCGCAGAAGAGTGACTTATGTAAACACGTTGACAAATATATATATATATATATATATAAATATATATGTATATATATATATATAGGGGTTGGTTCAAATAAAAACCAGTGCTGGTGCGAGAGAACCGTGAGAACCATATTTGATGCTATTTATAATCGTGCATGATGCTATTTTTAACACACATGGTGCTATCATTTTCACAAATTCTAATATAAATTGTGTTGCTATTTTGAATAAATAAATATATGTTAAAAATAGCACTAAAATACAATTAATCATAGCACTATGTACAACTAAAGATAGCGGTTCTCACGCTAAGACTTGGTTCTCATTTGAACCACATCCTATATATATATATATATATATATATATATATATATATAATATTAACTAACTGATTATACAAAAGGCCTTGAAAGGAAAACAAATCATAAATTACCTGATTCATTAAAAAACTCCTCGTTATAGCTATCCTCATAAGTTTGAACATGAGAAAATCCCATTCTCGACTTCCTCAAATCTTCAGATGATCGATTGGCAGGATCCCGACCATCTTCAGTATCATCATCTCCTTCAGATGTGGTAGCCGATATCCAGTCAACCAACACATCTGAGCCACGGCTTTTCCTTCCAAACTTAAGTAAACGTTTGAAGCTGCTCTTCATGTCCTTGCGGGTTAAGTTAGTATTGGATGTCTGAGCCACCAGCATGGGTTTTTGTGCTGTTCCCCATTTCTTCCTCATCCGGATTGAATCACTGTCTATTTGATTAAACAAGTTCGAATTCCATGAAGCAGGACTTCCACCAGGAGACTCCATCGAGGCATCAACATCAGACGTCTCATGAGGATAAGTAAAGGGGTTTTGCCTGTGTGAATAATTCCATGAAATCGGACTTTCCTCAGGCCAATCTTGCAAAGATTCACCAGTGGATGCCAAAGCCTGATTGAAATCAGAAAATGTAGTCATATCACAATTTTCTGAACCAGATTTTACGAGCTTCACTGATTCCAGTCCCTGTTTTGTTTCCCCTTCATTACTGAAAATCTTCTGATCTTCAGAGTTGAAAGCCTCAAAGCCTTCATCAACATCATTCTCGCCTGCACTTGCAAACTCATCAGTTCCAGATTCCACAACGTTACTTTCTTCCTCATTTTTAACCAACTCAGACACAAGGGAGGCCTTTTCTTTAGCAATACTAGCTTGAGAAACAAATCTTGCTCGGCTGCCCTTTTTGAGAAAAGGCTTTGTCCCAACACTTTTCATAACTTCGACATCGAATTTTATTGGCGTCAGATTAACACCGTCAGAGTCCAGTAGCGAAATTTCTCCATAGTCAGTTGGATTTTCGGAGCTTTTCCTCAACGAATGCGACCGGTGTAGCTTATTCTCCCTGGAAATAACTGCTTCATCATTGGTGCTTTTGCTGCGGGCATAGTTTCTTACCTGTGAGCGGGTCGTTTTAATGGCTCCAGAAGAAGGCTTGGCATTTTCTTTTCTCAAGTCAGAAAAATTTAAGACGGAGTGTGCGAGTGGATTATTCTCCAGTTGCATTCTTCTTTTCCCAGAATTTGCGGAATTTTTTGTGACAGATTTTGGGATGGACGTTGCCGAGGTGCGAGGGGTAGTGGATGACAAGCTTCTGTTGGCGGGTAAATGCTTCTTCCCCTGTGCACCCCTACTGGAAGCACTATCCCTAAACAAGGTGTTGTTATCTAAAGCCCTATTCCCATGGAGGTGATTCTGCTCAATATAATCCAATGCTTCCTCATCCTCCTCACTACCCACAGAATCTAAGTCTTGCTGCCAAAAGGAAACTTCTATATAGTAGGTTAAAATTTCAAGCAGGACACTAACTAACTCCAGTAAATCTTATAAACTAGGAAACGAAAGACGTTTCCATTCATTAGAGGCAATCAGGTGTAAAAATTTCCAGAAGAAAAGTATAAGTCTACCTGCTCGCTTTTTATAACTGACTTGCTATTACCATACGATCTGAGTCTCTCAGCACGTCTACGGGCACTTGATACTGAATTGTGTCTTTCTGCAGATCCTGCGATATTGGCCTTCATCTCTGACTTATTCCTCTCAAGGCTATCCTGCATAGACTTCAACCGTGCTTCTTTCTCTGCTCTGTTGGATCTCCACTCAGCTCTCAGCTTTGCATCCCTTTTCTGCATATACCGGTCATAGGATTTCCCTCGAGAGCCCTCTTCTATACTGAGCTCCGAAAAATTCTTATTTATGGCATCAAGGGGTGATTCAACAACGAACTTGGTCGAGTTCTTAGTGGGTTCAGTTGACTGGTGAATGTCAGACGATTGAGGAGCAACATCTGGAACTGGTTTTGTGTACTGTAAAGTACTTGACGGATCAACTTGTGTTTCTCTTTCACCTGACCTTCCCTTTCGTATGGTGTTGGGTTGATCTGAGGGGACTCGCAACTTGTGCTCAGCGAATAATTTTTCGAGCTCATTTGCTTTCATTTTTAGGTCATCATTAAGTTCCTGATTAACCTTTGACTGTTTTGTCCTTTGAACTTGCTCCGGAGGTGGAGTTGAAAAGGAATCAAAGCCTTCCTGAGCCCCTGTCACGATTTTACTGGAATACCGAATCCTGTTGCCACTAAAATTGCTCTCATCTCGTTGAATGCTTGCCTTCTTGCTTAATTCAACTGTCAAACCTTTTCTATTCACCTTCAGTGTTTGAGGCCCCGAATCATCATTGCTCAACATAGAAGTAGTTGATTTTTTTGCAGACATGTGTAAGATTTTCTTTTCAGCAACTTCAGTCTCCCCAACAGATTTTACCTCTTTCTGGGCAGAAGTGGAACTCACACCTTCATTACCTTTATAACGAGAAGCAAATGCCCTTTTAATTTTAGAACCAGCTTCACTTTCAAGTATCCCCGACTCCACGGCAGCTTTCTGGTTAGCTTTTTGACTTTGCTTGCTAGACTCCTCCCTTGATTCTAAATTCTCACTTTGATTAAACATCTCAAACGGTTGCCCTCCTTTGCTTACGGAAGACCTGGTATTGGTTATGGAAGAAGCCCGATCATTGTCGTCAATAATCCGTATGTGGGACCCGCCATATTCTTCTCCACCCACAGAAACCTTCACTTTCCTTGGATCCTGAAACCTGACAGCGCCCTCGTTGTTAGCACTATCTGAAGTTTTACAACTGTCTTCCGAACAGTTCTGATCGTCAGTCCTATTTATAAAAGACCTCAACTGAGCCTTTCCAAGCACTTGATGTTTCAAGCCATCACTTTCACCAGAACCCAAATACGAGTTAGACTTATTAGACTTAGAAAGCAGCTGAGAGTTATTGGAAGACACTGCATTAGATTCACCGCTATCACTAACATGGCCCAAACTAGGATACAGCTTCATCTCTGGTTTAGAGGCAGAAGAAACCCCAGGGATATCATCATTCGAATTCAAAACCTTTTTGTCATGTGAAACTACTGTAGAAGGGCTTTCAGAATCTTTTTTGTCAACAGTCAAGTCAATGCTCATATCGCTAGCTCCACTCAACCTCCTCAAAACCGCCTTCTCCGGGAGTCCACCTGATGCCGAAAGGTCAGATGACAGCCTACGCAGCTCAGCAGGCTTCGCCACAACAGCAGGCTTTCCCCCGGAACTCTCTTTTTGTTTGTTCTCAAACATGTTTATCCTGTCCTGAACACTGAGCCGCCTTGTATGCTGACTTGCCTGAATCGGCACGGGCGGATTGGGAGTCGAGTTTTCATCTTTCCTATCTTTTTCTGGCAACGTCTCGGAAGGCTTTTTAAACTCTTCCATGTCGACAGTAGATTCTCTGCTGATGGTACGACTTAAGGGGTAAGTGCCGACTGGGGGATTGGGCTTCTCAGACATGGCAGGTTCTTGGCAGGGTGGTGGAGAAGTAGGATCATCATCGATGGACATGTCTGACCCGTACGAGGAACGAAGTGCCCGATCAATGGGTTCATATTTCCATAGTTGGATGATTTCAGGCCGTCTCTTACTTAGTGATAGGTATTTCCCACATGCTTCACTGCAAAGTTAGACAGCAGGACTAGGTTATATCGAGTGCCAATATGAAATGGAAGAACAAAAAACAAACAAAAATATTTGGGGGAATGGGACTATGAATAATTATGAAATCTTGTTCTTTTCAGTAACTACTGGTCAGGCTCAAGACTTCTCCGAGATACATTTACCCCACTAAGAAGCAACTAAATAAAAAGTTAACCAAAAAAAATTCCAGTTAAAGTTCTATAAAAGTCATTGATGTTCTAAGACCTATTACCCTATTCAGTGACACTTGTCGAACTTTGGTATAATTCAGATCTGAGGCAACAATGGGCCATGTGGATGAAGGATATATAAGCCCGGCTTAGTCTACTAATTCAATATTGCTGGTGCAAGGTTGAATGTGTTGGAAGTCAGAAAAATTAAACTGTAGAGCTGTTTCTAAATTGTAAAAGAAAGTTTCCTTACTTTAGCCGATGAGCACCAAACCAATCTGCAAACATTTGAAGTTCTGAGACAGAGTCAATGTTGAAGCCAGCAGCAGCAGCGCGAGCACAAGCGGAAGATAGATCCTGCCGCACTGCAAGAAGCCTTACATCGATAGCCCTCAGAAGCTCCTTCCTGTAATTTTGAGAATAAAAAAGAATTAAAGGGATGGGGGAAGCAAAGGGAAGAGTAAAGGGAAATGATGATGAAAATTGTCTCATAGCCAGCTGTTAATAGTATCGAGAAGAAAGCAAAAATAGGTTATTTACAAGGGAAGACAAACTAAATAGAAACAAATTTCACTTATTTGGCCAGTGTACCACGAAAATAAACTTAATCTCAGTCTTTGGAGCCATCCATGATACAAGATTAATTCGTACACTATTTGACTAGCATTTACAACGTAAATGACTTTTCTCACCGATCTACCCACCATCTAATAAAATTCTCGAAAAAGTACACAGCCTGACCTTAAAATATACCAAATACCAACAAGATGTGAACCAGAGCAGCGGATATTAAAAAAAAAAAATCATCTCGAGTAACGGTGAAATTTATTAATTGAGATCATTCCACCCAAGCAACTATGAGAAAAAAAATACAAAAAGAAAAAACAAAGAAAAATAATAGAGTGGGAATGTTATACTTTGTAGCATCATCTGCAGCTGTCACACCAGCTCCACCTCCACCTGGATTACATAATCACAAAACAACAAAATAAAAAATCATAATTACAATGTCAATCAGAATAGAAGAGAATGTACAGTCATGTTTCTACAGACATGTACCCTGTAAAACCAAGAAGATGAAATATCATTCACTCAAACTGTCTGTCCTACTCTCTCTCTCTTAAGTAAGCACTGTAGGCTGTCAATTGGCATAAAAATTTTACAACGAAAGCCAGGACCGACTCACCAATTAATATGATAAGTTGTCTGACGATGGCAGAATGAAGAATGGTTGTGCATTGTTCATAAGATTTCTTAAATCAATTCACTGAAAAATATTATAAAATAACAAATGGCATAACTGATAATTTAACACATTATCTCAAACCTTATGCTTTTAACTTATGAATCATGGATAACAATTTAGCCAAAATAAGACTGTTTTGATCTAATTCTGAACATCCAGCTTCCTCAGCTTATGCAAGAGATTGTCTCATTTAAAAAGTTTATGGACACACTCGGCTGAGTTTCATTCGAATTTACTTTAAGAAATATTTGTTCCATAGTACATCCAAAAAAATATATAATAATACATACATAAAAACACACGTAGAGGTGTCAAACACAAAACTATCAATACACAATTTCAATGGGCTGCCCCATCCAGGCATACGCAATCCAAAATGCAGAAAAACTAAACAAACAAACAATAGATCAACATGAAGCCTGAACACATACCAGAAACTTGATTTCCAGCTCCCTGAAATCAATTAAAAAAATAATTTAGTGAAGATGCTTTCAAAAGTATCACTTGAACCATTATGCAATACATAAATAAATACCTGGGAGTATATCCTTCGAGCTGCTTCCAACTGTGACATCTCGGCATCATAAGTATTGACTTGCTCTAAAACCTCAGGAGTGCTTACAAATCTTACAAACCTGAATATTAAGATTGTGAACTACACAAATTAGATGCACAGAGCCAACAGCTTATCAAATCACAAATGGCATTACCTCTCAAGTGTTCCCTTAGTGAACCACGTTTCAGTGTTTCTCTGTCGCCCAACTTCAAGCTTAACTGACGGAGAAAAAGAGGAGAGTTGTTCCTCTGCAATCTGAAAATGTGAAATGAATGGTTTAAGCAATCCTGAAGCTATTTTCTCTGTGGTCCCATCACTGGAAACAAACAATTCGCATCTGTCCAAAAGAAACTAACCGTAAATACCTTGTACAACATAACAAGCTCAAACAAACATGGTATACTAAATCTCCTACCGTGAGTGCTTTGGTGACAGCTGAAATACAGCGTAATCCAGTGGCGTGTCTGGCTTCATCATCGCCAAAACTAAGAAAAGCTACTGCTCTCCTGTTTGTCTTTCATACATGTGCACCCATCTCAGAAAAATCTTGATTTATACCAGTTTTTTTAGCTTTTTCAAGAACCATTTAAGCAATGCACATTCCGCACAAAATGATAAATATAACTCCATAAGAAAAATATAAAAGCCCAGATTAAAACGCACCCAGATACTTCACAAAATATGCATATACAATGGGACTGAGAGGATCTAAAATCAAGAACTCAATCACACAAAGTTCAACTGCAAATTGGACTATATCAACAATATAAAACATCAATAAAATACAATGTACTTAAAACGGAACCATTTCGCCCCCTGGGCGACGACAGTCAGAAAATTAACATACGATTTATATTCTCTCAGATCTGACCACAGAAAAATCAAAATTGAAATGCTAAAAAACATCCGCTCCATCTCAGTCTTACCCCGTTATCAGCTCAACCGAAATGCTATGGACAAGTACATCGACACTTGTTCAAAGCACTGGCTAAGGCTGAAAATCAAAATTATCGTAATGTCTACCAAAAAAAGTTAAAACCATCGGACAAGTTTGGAAATCTTACCTCAACAATGGCGATGCGGAGATCTTCGATTATCCCACCCGATCGACGAGTCAAGGGCTTTGATTACTGC